AATAGTAAGGTGTGTGGAGGTATCGCTGTGCCTGATGCAATAGCCTGGTCATTCAGCTGTTTTACTCCAGGCTATATAATTGTCAGAACAAATTTGGGGGATGCTCACGAGCCAAGTGAGCAACTTTGCTTTTCCACAGAGGTTGCACCAGTAACTTGGCAGGATTTGATGTTAAAAGATGTAAGATTAAAAATGCATTTGCCCCCTTGAAGCCAAAGGAGCAGCACAGGCCACAAGCTAAATAATTAAATGGTAAAGCTTCAGATGTAGATTGTGCCGGTTTTTAAGGGGTGGGGAGAATAGGAAGGATGAATATATTAATAATGAGCACGTATTTAGTTCATATGATATTTATATAGTTCTATAGAGCATCCAAAGCACTTCACATACATTTCTCACAATCCTCAGAATGTTGTTGTTGTTGTAGATTAGGCTCAGAGATGGTGACTGGCCCAAGGTTATCCAGTGAGCTTCGTGGCTGAACCCTGGTCACCCAGGTCAATGTCCAACACCTTAACTTTTACACCACACTATGAATTAGGTTGAGAGACGCGGGTGGCGCTGTGGGTTAAACTACAGAGCCTAGGACTTGCCGATCAGAAGGTCGGCGGTTCGAATCCCCGCAGTGGGGTGAGCTCCCGTTGCTCGGTCCCTGCTCCTGCCCACCTAGCAGTTCGAAAGCACGTCAAAGTGCAAGTAGATAAATAGGTACCGCTCCAGTGGGAAGGTAAACGGTGTTTCCGTGCGCTGCTCTGGTTCGCCAGAAACGGCTTAGTCATGCTGGCCACATGACCCGGAAGCTGTACGCCAGCTCCCTCGGCCAGTAAAGCGAGATGAGCGCCGCAACCCCAGAGTCGGCCATGACTGGACCTAATGGTTAGGGATCCCTTTACCTTTATGAATTAGGTTGATGCTTTTATCCCCATATTACAGAAGAGAGGTGGGGAATGCTGAGGCCAAGAGATAGTGGCTAGCAAATTCTTCATAGCTCCTAAGATGATACGTTTATATTCCTGCATTGCCGGAGGTTGGACTACATGATGCTTGGGGTCCCTTCCAACTCTACTATTCTATGATTCTATGAACCAGGGGTTTTCTAGGTTGCACTGTCAGCATGCTCCGTAAGGTACCATGCCTAGCATATAACATACCACAGCTTCAGAAAATTTGGAAATACATAATACAAAAAATACAATATGCCCTACAATATATATTTACAACCAACCAACCAACCGTCTTAGTGTTTAAGTTAGCAGAGGACAGGCTATTACAGTGGTACCTTGGGTTACATACGCTTCAGGTTACATACGCTTCAGGTTACAGACTCCGCTAACCCAGAAATTGTACCTCGGGTTAAGAACTTTGCTTCAGGATGAGAACAGAAATCATGCTCCGGCAGCACAGCGGCAGCAGGAGGCCCCATTAGCTAAAGTGGTGCTTCAGGTTAAGAACAGACCTCCGGAACAAATTAAGTACGTAATCCGAGGTACCACTGTATAGAAGAAATGAATATATCAGTGACAAACCTTCAAGAGTGGGTAGTTGCAGAGCTCCTAAAGTGATCTCTGAAATGGTCTTGGTTGTCATCATTACAGAGTCAGGTGATATATTTCCAAGGCAGAGATACAAGTTTTATGGTTCAACTTCCGCAGGCAACAACAGAGGAGAAGCAGGATATTCTGGACCACAGTCTCAAAGCTATTTGTGGGTTGGCCTATTGCTCAAGAGTGTTGCGGGATGGGTTGAAGTTGTCTCTTTCACAAGGCAACTCACATCAGAGTACAAGAGGAGAAAACATTTAACCGGAGCAGCGCAGAGAATCAAGAGGCAGAGAATGCAAGGCGGGAGTTTCATGCCGCTCAGCTAATAATTCATTCCTGCTCAGACTGTTTCTGTTCCACACTGTCCATATTGTTAGTGCTGGCTCAGAGTCCCAGTTTCAGCAATTTCAGATGAAGAACCAAAAAAAGAGCCACTGATTTCTTTTGCATTGATTTTGTATTCCTTCTCTTTTTGTTTTAATCAAACCTTATTCTGTGCCTGCAGATCACAAACCATTCATTAGTTGAGTAGGGATGGCACTTAAATTTTAATTATGTGTGCCCAGTTGTTGGAATGAGCAGAATCCGGAGCAGAATATATTTTGAAAATATATTGTAGGACAGTTGTGTCTTAATTGCAATAGCTTTACAAAATAAAAAGCCCAAAAGCTTTAATATTGCAGATGTGAGATGTAATAAATAGAAAGCTGGAAAGATGCTTAAAAAGAAGCATCTTCTGTTTTAAGTAGAGTATTCCAAAAATTATTTGCATGGGCACGCCACTAGTCCCCATGAAGGTGGCTTGCAAAGGTTTTATTTTCTTCTCTGCAGTTGAAGCCATTGGCTTGATATAAATACTGGATGTAGTCAATGAATATTTTCCCTTTTCTGTAGAAACAGCCTACTGGTAGCAACATCGAATCCAATCTGCCTTTGGGGCATGTGATGTTATGGATGCTTTCAGTCCCTAATTCTCAAATTGCTTTGTAAATTAATCATTTTATGATGGTCTAAAAGTACTAGGTACTGACACTAGGAGTGTATATATTCTGTGTTTGGTCAACAGAATGCAGGAAAGGCTCTCACACTTCACCTGCATTTCCTCATCTGGAAAAAAAGAAACCAAACAAACACTCCATGAGACATTACTTTTTCTCCAATACCTTCCATTGGCTGGGGCACAAAATCCTCCCAGTGTTAAACATCAATAGATTTATTGGGTATGTAATATGTCCTGACCTCTTTTTTGCTTTATGAAAGAAAACTCTGTGTGGGGTACATTAATCTGCTTCCCTGGATTAGGTTATTGGTTTTTTTCTTTTGTCATCCCCCCCACCTTTTTTTCTTACCCCAATACTTTACATTGGGACGCAGGTGGTGCTGTGGGTTAAACCACAGAGCCTAGGGCTTGCCGATCAGAAGGTCGGCGGTTCGAATCCATGCGACGGGGTGAGCTCCCGTTGCTCGGTCCTAGCTGCTGCCAACCTAGCAGTTTGAAAGCACATCAAAGTGCAAGTAAATAAATAGGTACCGCTCCGGCGGGAAGGTAAATGGCGTTTCCGTGTGCTGCTCTGGTCTTCTAGAAGCGGCTTAGTCATGCTGGCCACATGACCCGGCAGCTGTACGCCGGTTCCCTTGGCCAATAAAGCGAGATGAGCGCCGCAACCCCAGAGTCGTCCGTGACTGGACCTAATGGTCAGGGGTCCCTTTACCTTTACTTTACATTACCCCAATGGCAAAAGGTAATACATCTCTTAGGATGTTTTACATCCTGGGCTCTTTTTTGCTTCCAGAAAGAAAACTTAAAATGGTAAGTGGTTGAAATTTGATAGCCTTGTGTTACTACTGCGCAGGTGACAAAATGTCCTGGAAGGACTATGCTGTGGGTCTTTTCCTGTGTAAGGTCTGCGACGAAACATGCGCCTGGGGTAAAACTTTGCCCCAGGGTTAATGCTGATTTCACCAAAGCGAATTTTCATCCTCAGGCGACCATGATTAACTGTTGGTTTTGTAACACCACTGGCAGCTGCTACGCCGGTGTCAGATGCATAGCCTTATTCCCCGAGTTGGCTTGTCAAAGAATGGAGACAAAAAGAAAAAAAGCAACCCCCACAGGAGCTGTCTTTTGGGTTATTGCAAAACAGTGTGTAAGTGAATTAAGTCGGAGACGCCAAGACTAATTGCTATAACGTTTCCCAGGCGGGCCTAAGCTTAGCAAGCCCCAGAATGGAGCGGGTGTTCCCAGACTGCCATATAAATAGCCCCGCCTCTTAATCAAGGGAAAGTATTTCAGTCCCTGCAGACATTCCCTGCCGGTCTCGCAACCCCAGAGCCTTCCAGCATTGCTCCCAAGGAACTAGGGCAGCAGGAGTTCTCGCTTGTCAATCGACCAGAGGCTTCAGATGTTTCCCAGTCTATGACTTCAGCTTCCACCATGCTGGTAATTTCTGATAGCTCCTAGGCAACATGGAGTTAGTGGGGCAAAACACTGAAATAACATTGGTGTAGCTCTGCTATGGCCCTCCTGTTAACCTCTGGATGCAGGCAAGGAGGTAGAAGCTGAAAGATGGTGGAAGCTCATGGCTGAGGTCACATTTCAAGTGGAGCTGGCCTGCCTCACAAAGGCCAGAGTAAGGCTGGAACCCATGGCTCTTGGTTCGTAATGCAGTTGCGCTAGAAGGAAAGACAGGACGCATGAAGACACAGCTACGCATGTTGGCTGTGTGTGTGTGTGTGTTTGATGCATAAAATGATGCACATGTTCTCAGCTCCTTTGTTCTAACAATGTAGAATTTGCCAAAAGGTACTTGACTATGGCAGTGCCCTGCCAAATAGCTATCTCCTTGCAGCAGTGCTCCAGATGTGTCACCCCACTTGGTGGGGTGGTACCCCAAGTGGTAATGAAGTTTCAGCTGTTTAAAATGTACTGTGTGGGGGTAGGGAGTAGAAGGGTCTGTCAATTTCAGCCTTCTCAGGTTCTCATTTCCCTAAGCTTAAATTCAGTTCTGCACATTTCTGCAATAATCTCTGATTAAAAAAAAAAAAAATCCCGTGAAATTTATTCAGTGTTTTAGCGTATTATTATTATTATTATTATTATTATTATTATTATTATTGGCATGCCACCCTTTATCTGTAGATCTCAGGGCAGTTTATCCTAATAAACACATTTTGTATGCACTTTTGACTATTGTACACATTTTCTGCAAGCAATTTCTCCTGATCAAATGCATTTTGGTGTGGTAATTTTCATTGATAGATGCATTTTCTGTGGTTGGCAAATGTGTACAATTTGCTCCTAACATAGGCATTTTTGTAAACCTTGTTTGGTTGGAGAACTGGAATCACAACATTTGGATGAGTGCAAAATTCAAAGAATGGATTTCACTCTCTCACCTCTGTCATAGAACACAGAATTGTAGAGTTGGAAGGAACCACGTCCAAACCCCTGCAATCTTTCACCCAACGTGGGGCCTGAACCCTCGACCCTGAGATAAATGGTCTTATGCTTTACCTACTGAGCTATCCCTCAGGTGTGTTTCAGTTTGTTGTTTTGGAAAGTGCAAACCTGATACATTCAGCTGAACTGAATCTAATTTCTCCCCTATCCCTAGTGTGGAATAACAAAGCGTGAAAGCATTTGTTGGTTGCCACCATATGAAGCCTGTAAGGTTTTAATTAAGCCCAGAGGAGACAGAGACAGACAGTTGCTCGACACTGGAACAGCTTGTCTTTGGAGGAGAGGTGTATCCTCCTTTATCGGAAGTATTTAACCCAGAGATAGATGACTATCAAGGAATCTATACTTGGATTTCTTTGCATGTCCTGATTTGAACAGAGGGTTGTGTTAGATGACTTCTGAGATCCCTTCCAAATGTAGAATTCCATGATTCTATGGAAGTTTTGCTTTGCATCCATCAACCAGATAGTTAAAAATTGTCAATTGTAGATCCCAACCATAAGGAACTTCGCCTGTCTCCTCTTGATATTAATATCCTGGTTTTCTGCCGAGGGGTATAATCTCAGGAGGTCTAAACCATCTTTTTCTTCTTCTTCCGAATGCATCAATCAGCCACATCAGTGACATTCTAAATATCTGGACCAATATTTAATTAAAAAGATGGATTGCATCAAAATGCAGTTGTAAACAGAAACTACTTTGTTGCTTTGATGTTTTGGCAGCATCCAACAGAACAACAACAAAGGCCTGTTTGCTGAATTTCATTGCCCCAATGTATGTGAACTGCAAAGCTGCCAGTTCAAAATCTGACCTATAAAGCAGGCACTGATATTAAGTAGAGCTACTTACCCTGTTCTATGGAGCCGCAACATTTTGAAAAAAGGACTTTCAAAAATACTTTAAAGACAAGGAACATGTGTGCATACATACTTGGTACATTTACCGTGTGTGTGCGTGTGTGTGTGCGTGCCTCACTTACTTTCAAAGTGGACAGTGACCAAAACGCCCCCACTCCTTTCATGGTCTCCCAAGACAGACACATGCCAACGAGTAATTGAGGTGTTGGCACCCAGAGAAACTGAGGTGTGACTCAAATCAGTTCTCTGTGAATATCAGAATTATGAGACACCAGAGCAAGCACAACACAATGTCAGGCAGTTGGATCCTAATTGACACAAAGTCTGAGGCAAATATTCGCCTTAAAAATGTACACATACATACAATGTTATTTTTAAAGCAACACTTGGGTCCCAGTACAAGTGTGTCGTTTTCAGGGTGTCACGTTACCAAGGTTTTGGTCCATAAAGGCAGCGGCCTACTAAGCTAGCTTTCCCGCCTCGCAAAAGCATTTCTGAACTCAGTTACTATTTGAGGGGAGATCACGTGGGCCCGCTGCTCATATTGTTTATTTTTTGCTTCTAAAATGGCGTAACTGCATCTCAGTGATAGGGACCACACTTGACAGAAGGTGTCCTGCTCAGTTTTCTAGGTCTCCAATTTAAAGCATCTCTAGTAGCAAAGATTTCTGCAGGGCCGTGGAGAGCAATTGCCAGTCAGGATAGGTGGGGGGAAGTGGCATAGATGTTATTATTATTATTATTATTATTATTATTATTATTATTATTATTATTATTTGCTGCCCATCAGACTGGGTTGCCCCAGCCACTCTGGGCAGCTCCCAACAAAAAAATAGTAAAAACATAATACATTACACACTGAAAACTTCATGGCCCAGAGCATTCTAACAGTAGCTTTCAAAGAATTCAAAACTACAGCTCTGTAGAACAAAACAAATCAAAAAGGAACAAGACCATGCAGCAACTGAAGTGCAGTTACACACAATCAGAGATTTTTATTTTTTTATAATTAGGCTTCTATACAAAATTATGGAGGAAAGTGGAAGGAGACATAAGCTGTTATTCTGTCACTCACAACTAGTTCTGCCTTATTATGAAGTGAGCTAGAACCACGTCACATGAGTTTCCTCAAAAGCTGGCATTAGCATTGTTTACCTGTGTGACTGAGTCATACAGAGGGCAGCATAAAAGAGCAGCAAGGTGAGTAGCTGCTCTCCGCCAAGCCTTGGGAAGACTTGCCAGCTTTTCATTCAGCGCAGTGTGGCTGAAGAGGATATCCTGTTGGACCAGTGATAACAAGGGAAATAAAATCACTTCCTCACCAGCTGTTTGATTCAGGTAGAGAGAGAAAGAGAAAAAAGGAAGTCGACTTCCTCTGGGTGTGCACTCTACCCACCACCCCCTCACTCATTAATGCAAAGTGCAGCACCAGAGAAACCACTCACTCCCCTATGTTATATGCAGCACAGATCAATAACAGAGCACTGAACTAGAGCAAATAGGAAGTTCTGGGTCTTCGCTGCATAGGAGCTGCATTTTAGTCCATGGCAGCCAATGGTACAGAACAGGGCGCTGACACTGATCTATTGTAGTGCTGCCTGTCAGTGGCGTAGTGTGGGTTGCCAGTGCCCAGCGCAAGGAAAATACCGCATTTACTTGAATCTAATGCACACCTCAAGGGGACACGGGTGGCGCTGTGGGTTAAACCACAGAGCCTAGGACTTGCTGATCAGAATGTCGGCGGTTCGAATCCCCGCGACGGGGTGAGCTCCCATTGCTCGGTCCCTGCTCCTGCCAACCTAGCAGTTTGAAAGCACGTCAAAGTGCAAGTAGATAAATAGGTACCGCTCCAGCGGGAAGGTAAACGGTGTTTCCGTGCGCTGCTCTGGTTCGCCAGAAGCGGCTTAGTCTTGCTGGCCACATGACCCGGAAGCTGTACACCGGCTCCCTCGGCCAATAAAGCGAGATTAGCACCACCACCCCAGAGTCGGTTACGACTGGACCTAATGGTCAGGGGTCCCTTTACCTTTAATGTGCACCTCAATTTGCAAAACCTTGAAGCCAAAAGAGTATTTGCTGGCGAATGTAAATGTGCCATCAAATCTAATGCGCACCCTAATTTCCAATACGTAATTTGGCCAAAAAGAGGTGTGCATTACATTTGAGTGAATACGGTATTGCACCCCCTAAGGCAAGTATTGTGCCCTCTAAAGGGTGTCTCTATTCGGCACTGCTGCTGTTGCCAGATGTAGCAGTGGCCGGACATGCATGTGTGTCTCCTTGGGCTAGGGCACCACCATGAGTCCCGCTGTCTGCCCACCTCCCCTGCTGGTGGGGGGCACTGTGCAGCCAATGGATGCCAGGAACCGTCCTCTCCCAGCTCTTGTTCGGTGTGCTGCTCAAGTGAGGCGGGTGGGCAGGATGGGGAGAGTGCCTCCAGTTGGAGTGGCAGTGGCAGAGGTGTGCCTCTAACCAATTTTCTTTTGCGCCCGAGGCAATTGCCCCAGTAGCCCTCCTCACGCTATGCCTCTGCTGTCTGTTCCAATCGGCAAAGGTCTTCCAAGCTTATTGCCTATTTTCAAACAGAGATGCCAGTGTTTGAACTGTATACAGATAACATGTGCCTCTCCCTTTTTTGGCACCTCATTTAAGTGAAACTAAATCACGTGAAGATAATTGAGGATAGGGACTAATTTTAGACGCGACACCTGCCGGGCAAAACATCCCTTCCCCAAATCCCCAAACCTGTACTGATGTAGCCCCTTCACCCTTTAAATGTGATGCTTAGCATAAGAGGGCTTCAACGGAAAACAGTTTTTTTATGGTGGTGATGCATGAGGAAGGCACCACATCAAAATGTGCCTGTGCTTCCGAGTAAATATATTTAAGAACAGGGATGCAAATCCGTACATCAGTAAAATACAGTCTGAAAAGCTACCATCCAAAAACCAACAGCGGCTTACAAAAAGCAGCATCTCAAATAATTAAAGGTTGGAGCTGTGGGTTTGCATACGCCTTCCAGTTGGCTCGGATTTCTCCTGTCAGGCTTAAGCAAGGCTCTCTTAACCAAGATCTGAAACCAGGATTTGAGGCTCCTTCCATAGTTAAGAGGGAACCTCATTAATTGACCATGACCTTAATGTCAATGTAAAACTAAGCTAGAGGCTGGTGGCGTGGAGGGCTGCTGGGAGACAGAGGAGAGGGCTGGGTCTCTCAGAACCATGACTCAGAGCTGCATTGGTTGTATAAAAAAGGTAAAGGGACCCCTGACCGTTAGGTCCAGTCGTGGACGACTCTGGGGTTGCGGCGCTCATCTCGCTTTACTGGCCGAGGGAGCAAGTGTACAGCTTCTGGGTCATGTGGCCAGCATGACTACACCGCTTCTGGCGAACCAGAGCAGAGCATGGAAACGCCGTTTACCTTCCCACCGGAGCAGTACCTATTTATCTACTTGCACTTTGATGTGCTTTCGAACTGCTAGGTTGGCAGGAGCAGGGACCGAGCAACAGGAGCTCACCCCATCTCAGGGATTCGAATCACCGACTTTCTGATCGGCAAGCCCTAGGCTCTGTGGTTTAGACCACAGCGCCACCCACGTCCTGCATTGGTTGTATACCTTGTCCTTTTTAGTACATTCCATTTGTCAAACATATGAATTAGGTGGCCAGAGGCAATGCCATTTCGAAACCTTTTCTCCTGGCTTTCCCAGAGCAATTGTTCAGCTGTTCCGTAACCCTTCCCTTGCAAAGCCCCTGCTGGCTTGCCAAGCCAAACTTAGGAAACAAATATGCCGTTAGCTGTTGGAGAGCTACAAATCTTTTACATCTGAAGCTGCTCCCTTGAACTCAGTGGGGCTTACTTTTGAGTAGGCAGCGTAGGACTGTACTGCACATCTCTCTCATGGGCCTTTAGGTTTTGTGCTTGCACTCAAGCCAAAACATTTGCGCCAGATATTCCTCAGCTCTAGCAGCATAAATAGTTGTGGTGGACCACAGCTCAAGGGATGGGGCAGAAATTAGACTCAGTTTGCATTTAAAGGCAGACTTACCCACTCACACTTTTCAAAACAGTGTGCAAACTGTTGCACAGCCACCCTTCAAAATTCACACTTCTTTAAATCTTGCAATGCAGTTCCCCAGCCAAGAATTGTGCATGCAAAACAGAAGGCTTATACAGGGATAAAGTGTGCATAAAAATGCACACATTAGTGAAAATAAC